GCGGCCGCCCCCACCCCCTCGGGACCGCCTCCCTCGGGGCCCCGCCTCCAGCCGTCGGAAGGGAAAGGAAGCGGCCCAGCGGCTGCAGATGCCAGGGCGCTGCAGAGGGGTGGGGACCCTCAGGCTGGGGGCTGCACGATGTCTCTGAGTGACAGTCGGGCCCCGTGGCAGCTGCGGCTGGGGCCCCTGGGGCTATTTCGGGGCGTGAGCTCACGGCAGCTGCCCGGGTGCAGGGACCGGCGTGCCCCCTCTCAGCTGCAGCAGCCGCTGCCCTTAATTTAGAAGTTTCCTGTAAATCCCCCCGGATTAAATGTCTCTGGGGAGGCAGGGCTCCTCCTCAGCTCCAATGCCTCAGTTTACCCCGAGCTTCCAGGCTGCTGTGGCCTATGGAGTGGTAACAGAGCGTCTTTCCAGAGGCCTGGGGAAACTGAGGCAGAAGGGGAGTCCAGCAGTCCGTCCAGCGCCGAGGGCGCACTTGGCCTCTGTCCCCCGCCTCCTCTTCCACCCTGTCCTCGGCCCAGGGCCGCAGCTCCCCCGCCCCGCCCCCCACGCGCCCCGCATAGTTTCCACGAAGCCCGGGGTGGGGTGGGGACCTCGCGCTCCTGCGCCCTCGGCGCACGCCCCCGCCCTGCAGTGACAGCCCCCCTTTTCCTCGCCTTCTCCCCGCGGATCCTCCTTTCTTCCCCTGTGAGCCAACTTTTCACCGAAATTTCTTTTCTGCCCTTTTTTGGGATACTTCCCTGTGGGGAGGTGGAGCCGGGCTAGGGTGGGGAAGGCGGGGGGGCGGGGGGCGGGTGGCGAGGGAAAGTTAACTGAGTTGCTGAGAGTGTGGACCACGGAATGGGGTACTCTCCTCCTGCAACAGGGACCCTAGAAACCGCTCCAGAAGCTGGTCCCGGGACGGGGAAGTCTATGGAGCGGGGCGAGCAGCCGTTCTTGGTTGGGGTCGGGAGGGGTGAGGAAGTGTCAAGCACCCAGAAGGAAGACATGGGGAGGGAAGGGGAGGCGGAGGAAGCTGGGGAGGGGGGAGGGCAGCAGTTGGCTTCGCTCCCCAGGGACCCAAGAGGAGACCTGGACTTGGCTGGAGAGGATGGGAACCGTGGGAACCCTGGGCTGGGGTGGGGGAGGGATGTGGGCCTGTAATCCGATCTGCTTAGCTGTCAGCCTACTAGATGCAACAAACTTGTGGTCATTGGAACCTGGTCCCCGTGTTCCCCAAAGTTTATGAAGGAAACCTCCATCCACCCAGTTGCCAAGGTCAGACACCTCCGAGATCAGCGCTTGTTCACTTTCTGTAAGCACTTCATCCTGCGGATCCTACCTCGTATAAATTCATTTCCTCCTCCTAGTCCGCTCTGGTGGGCAGCTTCTCCCTAGGTCTTTTGTGGTCTTATTTTTGTTTTCCCAACTCATTCATTCATCCTGTGTCCCCCTACACAAAACCCTTTCCTCCAAACTCCTTACCCCCTCCCCGCGGCCTCCTTCCTCTCTCCCTCCCTCCCTCCCTCTCTCTTTGAGGGTAAAAATCTGCTCTTCTTAATATGGTATAGAAGATCTCTTGTTTTTTGGCTCCTGTCTGCTTCTCTAGCCACATGCTTTTCACTTCCATGCTCATCCTGATTGCACAGGCTTACACCTCAGGCTGCGTTCATACTGAGATAGGTAGGAGCTTGAGCTGGAAACAGCCATACTTTTCTGAAAACTTCCTGCAACAAGGAATGAATGGAAATCCAAAATCTCTGTAAATGTTCATTAAAATTAATAAAATTTAAAAAAGAAATAATTTTTTAAAAACCCAACAAACTTCCATATTGTTCTTTCCCCAAAACACATTGCCCTCGGCCATCCTCCCTTCCCCAAAGCTGGTTCCTCTGGCCTTTAAGACTCAGATCAAGTGTCAGCTCTTCTGGGCTTCTGGGCAGCCTTCCCTGGGCACCCTACCCCTCTCCACTTGGTGGGGGGAGGTGTTCAGGGTACAGGATCATATTTTTCTCATTGTAGCCTTACAACTTCTCTTGTTCTTGTCTGTCTCCTTCACTGATACATGTCTTGGAGCATTTTTCAATTCTGAGTCTCCAATGGCCTAACACAATACCAGGCTCTGAGTTGGCACTTGGCAAATGTTTGCCAAATGTATGGTGACCTCTTGTGTACCAAGCTTTTGGTGCACAAAGATAATTAAGACGCTGATCTAGAGAAGACTGGGTCTACTATAGTGGTCCTCAACCTCTGGGCTCTTCACACTGTTATGAAAGAATTACTGAATACTGCATCTATTGATACCATTCTTAGCATAGTTAAAATGGAAACTGAGAAAACGAAAATGATTCGCCAAGAAGAAAAACTAAATTCATTATACATTAACCACACTAACATAAATCCTTTTATGAAAAACAATTACATTTTCTCAAGAAACTAGTGAGAGGACTGGTAAATAATTTTACACTTTTGCCTGTCTCTCATTAGTCTGGTTTATATTAGTCCTCTAGATTCTCAAAATCTGCTTCTTCAATCTTTTGCCACATTGGTTTGGAATAAGTAGGTGAAGGAAATAGTCTTTTTCAAATATATATATGTAATTGGAAAGCCGAAGAGTATTATTTAATAATTCCTCTAATTGTGGATAAATGTTACACCAAATTTGACAAGTAGTAGTTTCTTAAGGGTTCCTTGCAAGGTGGACCAGAAACTTTATCAATGACATTTCATAATATGTGACATTAAAATTAATTGTTCATCTTGCATTTTGAGTAGAACTTTATTATTCATGTAGACTTTTGTAACATCGTCTACTGGCCATTTGGAAAAAAAAGTTTCATTATATATATTTTTGTGTTCCATTATATATTACTTTAAAAACTCCACATTCTCTTGAAAGCTTGATTGGATTACAAACACTGTCAGTTATGTTTGGGGTCCCTCCGTTTTCCTAATGTAACACATTCACTTTATTTTTTTTTAAAAACAAACCAAAGCATGGTTTAAGTAGCCAGTTTGTCTTTCAGTTGTTCTTTCACGTGAAAATCTTTGTTCCAATGAAAAGGCAGCTAGTTCAGCTCACAGCTCACTCGCGTAAGTGCTTTTCCTGGAATGTTTTGATATGCAGCAGGCATATTTTGTATGTACTTTTCATTCTATGACACAGAATATTTAAAAGATGTGTTTGGGTTTGTTGGGTTTTTTTTTAAACCTCTTGTCAAGGACATTGTTGGTGGAAGCTGGCATTTCTTTTGTTAACATAGTACCAAAGAATGTAATGACTATTAATAGTTTGTGACAACTACCTTTAATTTGTCTATCAGTGCAAATGTACCATCAGTGCAAATGCTAAATACTACATATACATTGTAAAAGAAGGAAAATACTACTTTAGTATTGTTATGATAATAATTTTTCTCAATGTGCTATTGAAAAGGTCTTGGGGATCTCCAAGATTCAAATTGAGGCTGGCTGATTTAATAGGTATCAGGAGCTCTGACAGCACAGACTGAAGAGTACTGGGCTGCTGAGTAAAAGGACATGCATCTCAGGTAGAGTGAAGCCATCACACCTCTGCAGGAGAAAGATGGGCAGTCCTGCCTGCTAAGATTTATACCCTCAGAAGGTGACTGTGAGTTGGAAATTGACTCACTGTTGGTGAGTTGTGGTTTTTGTTGTTGTTTATCTAACAGGTATTTTTACTCTCCTCCCAAAGTATCACTTGAAGTATCACTGGCAAGAGGTGTGACTAGAATCACATTCCTGAGGACGTGTCAGGGAAGAAGCAGCAGGGGCAGGAGCAGGAGCAAGCAGCTCCTGGTGCACAGCTGGAAGGGACATAGACTGGGCTACCACTTGTATTGGAAGTTGTAGAAGGGATTTGAATGCCAGCGTTCTTAACCCATGATGTTGATATTGCATCTGGGACTAAGGGACCATGGCAGCATGTACTGGAATAGCCAGTCCTCTGCGTCAGAGAGGTGATAATATACCTCTATTTTCCAGTGCTTAGCAGGGGTCATGGGTTAGTAAATATTAGGTGAATGAATCACAAGTGGAAGTTGGCACTTTCTCTAATGGGCTGATGGGCGGGGGAGGACAAAGTAGTTCCATCTACTTGAAGCTTACTCTAGGGGAGCTGGATCAGAACATGTCATGGCTTTAAGAAAGCATAAGGTTCTCAGATAGTAGCAGATGTTTGTGTTCTACAGGGAGACACGAGGAAATAACATACTGGGCAACAGTTAGCTGAAGAATCACAAATGAAAACAGTGGCAGAACTCAGGGAGCAGACCAACAGTCCCGGTGGCTGCAGGCTGGAGGGTGTGACTATGGAAGAAGGTAGAAACAGCATTTACCCTCCTAACACCTTCCCTCCATATAAGCAAGGAGGCTGGAACAGGGCTACCAGTACCTCTTTGGCCACTAGGGACGCTCTGACCCTGTGGATAGAGTCTCCTATCTGGGGCCAGCTTTCTCTTCTAGGGCTCTGGGGCTGCCTAAGGCAGCCTCAGGTTGGAATTTTTGCTTGCTAATTGCTTTCACCAAACCTGGGACCACTGTTTTCTTAGGCTTAGGCACTTGGATCTAGTAGGCTTATTATTTTTAAAAATTCTAATCTACTCAGTATGATCCAGGAAGAGTGTAAACGGTCATTACAAAGACAGAAAAGGAAGAAAAGACCAAAATGGATGTCAGAAGAAACTCTGAAGATTGCTCTGGAGCATAGAAAAGCCAAAGTACAAGGAATAATTCAAGATACTAAAGAGCTGAACAAAAGATTCCAAAAGGCAGCACGGAATGACAAAGCAAAATATTACAATGAAATGTGTGAGGAGCTAGAGTCGGAAAATCAAAAGAGCCAAACTCCTTCAGCATTTCTTAAGCTCAAGGAACTGAAGAACAAATTCAAACC